TTGTTAATTTTTCTCTTATTGTATAGTTACTTTACCAATCCACATATATTATAATTACCTAGATATGCTAATTTTCATACTGTTTTTAGATCCACTGATGATGACATTAAATTGAATGTCGAAACGTTTGGAAATAATTATTTTATAAATCTTTGGCTTTTCTTTGTTTGATGTATCGTCCTCAAGAACTCACTCATATATATATATATATATATATATATATAATAAATATACATTAAATTCCTGCAAGTTTACGAGTCGTTCGATGTTTGCAATACCAACTTGAGTTTGTATGGAAACAAAACATTTATTTAACCTTTGACACAATGAATTTTATATTAAGATTATCATTTAATCAGCCTTCCCTCACTTAAACCTATAACTTTGTTTTCACAGATCTGAATATAAATTAACACAATATATTTACATCTAATATGTTTATTCTATAATTCATAATATTCAAATAATCTAAGTTAGAAAGTCAAATATTTTTCAATATATCAATAAGATAAGTATAACAAAGTAATTTTCATAAATTAAACAAAACCGAAATTTTTTGTTTTTATGGCCAATAATAATTTGTGTCTCAAAACAGCTCTGCTACTATACAGAGGAATGTAAAGCCGAGATATGCAAGTATTAGCAGTAGGTAAGTGAGAATCTCCGGCTGGCCTAATTGTCACAGAGGGCATTGGTTGAAAACCTTCTTCTGATGCAGGTAGAGCTGGTGAACCAGTCCAAAAATACACCTAAGAAAATTCATATTTATAATCAATAATGGGTTATATGAACTGCAGCATGCACACAATAGTTTGAATATCAATATAGTAATTATTTTAGTAACTGAAAATATTAATAAAAGTCATAGAAATAATATGTTGGGCCGTTTAAGTGTTTAATGCTGTTAACTTTTAGCAAGAGGTGTGGTGTTATATTTATTTTAAAAATTTGATATTTTGACTCAAATGTGTTAAAAATATTTTGGTTGCAATGCCAAACAATGCTTAAAAGTATTTTTTGTGTTTGATTATGTGCTCACCAAGTCTTGTCTCTCTATATTATTCATTTTCTCAACAATAGACCAGAGCCATCTTTTGAATTTCAACAAACGATCACCGGGCTCTCCAGATTCATCATTGAAGCTGGTATATGAAATTAGTGTTGCAACATTTATGTCTCCTACACCATTTAATAGTAAGCGAAGATCCTCCGCAGTTAATCCACTCAAAGAAGTTTCTGGTATTACATCAAATACCCCAACACGAATAGCTTCAATAGCCTTTTCTTGTGATCTGATCATTCTATACTCAGCATATTTTCTGACATAATCATAAACATTGGTTGCAGTCACCTCTAAGTCTCGGCCACCTGGAGTCAATTCAACATTTCCTCCACCCTCCTCAATGCACAAGTCAATGCTGCAAGATCGAATTCATTGCATTATTATATAATGCTTTATTGAATAGTATTTAACCATGTTGACATTTTATGTCATGTAAAATGTAAATTAATATATAATTTGTTCAAATATAATTATAAACATATCACCAAAAATGAATATATATTGGTACAAGGAGAATTTATAGTGAAAATGAGTATTTGACATAATTTCTGGTGGTCACTTCAAATATTCAAATGTGAAAGAAAAATGTACTTACTAACTACATACTCATAGTATACCTGAAAGTTAAATCTAAAGCACTAAAGAGACTGTTCGATGATTCCTTTGTTTCTGCATCAACCACAAGTTGTCGCAAAGACTCATATATAACTGGATCAAAGAAAGCCAAATCATGAAATCGAACAGTTCTACCCAGTATAGATTTCAGTACATGCCTCGATAAAAACAGTGGGAATAGTTCATTTTGTAACAGGCACAGGCCAATAAATCTAGAAAAAAAAAAGAAAATTTGAGTAACTAAAAGACAAATGCATTGTATAATTAAAAGTTAATAGCACATGTATAGGAGGATAACTTGATAACTTTGAGGTACAATTTAGGGGTTGATGACTACATAAAAATAGCATAGGTTTGTAAACCTTGTTATTCACACACTGGCATAGATTAGAAAAAACAGATACTTTGTTCAATAATGAACAAGGGATTAACGACTGCCTCCAGACAGATCATTATTATTATTGTACTGTACAAATATGCTAATAAATACAAATTACCTTCCAACATTTCTGAAAGCATTAATTCTTTCATTACTTGCTCTGCCTTGTCTAGGACTATATATGCCACGTTTTCCAGGCATATAGAACAAGGGACCATTATCTTCTAGCGGTTCATCAATAATAGTTTTACGTGGAATTGTCGGCACTAAGTTACCTGTTAAAATATTATTAGTTTGAAACACTGTAAGATTTGCACAAGCTATATTGACAAAAAAAAAACTTACTTAAAGTATCACTTTGATGATGAGCTTGAGATAATATTAGTTCTACAGCTTCCGAGGTTCGTTGCCTTAAAGATTCATCAGATGCTAAGAGAATTAATAATTGTGTAGATCCTAATTCTAAGAGCATTCCAGTTATTTTTGCAGCCATTCCTGGATGTAGTGCATATATCTACAAAGCAAGAGTAAATAATATGAATAAGACTAGAACTTGAGCTAAAAGTATGTATTATAATATACCCTTGGATAAAGCCTTTCTCCTAATTGTTGTTGATGATGCGTTAAATGATCATTGTAAATATTGCCCATTTGTGATGGTACTAGAGGGACTGTCAACGGTGCATATGTGGAACTACTGGATGGTGCAGCTATAAAAAAAAACAAATATATAAATACTAATTATTCTACTCTTTTAATTGGCATTTCTGCTACATCTGTGATTTGTTATATCATATTATAAAAAATATTAATTATTAGCTATGCATTAATTAATATATTATTATGTACAGTCACAAATGTTAAATATAAGATTATCATAATTATTAAACTTATTTCAAACAATAGCATGTACTTTGTTGAAACACTAACAATTCAAACTTTCTAGAAGTTGTGGTCCTGGATTGAATGGTGTAGCATCAACGTTTAATGCTTTTCTGACATCTCTGCTTCTCCAAGTAAGCCTATGGTGATGATGGCCTGAAGCGCCCCCACTAGTGCGCATACTAGATGAACCAGCATTGCGGTGTTGTTCTCTAGGGGTAACTGGAGGAGTGCCTCGAACTCTAAGCATGTTGAATTGATTGAATTTACTTCCTACTTGTGCTGGTTCTAAATTTGGCAGTTTTTCATTTGATAATATAGCCTGAAACATTATTAAATTTCATAAAATCATAAGAATGAAAACGATTTTGAATAGCATAGAAATAATAAGGAAGAGATAACAAATTACTTACTTCGGCAATGGAAGTATAAAAACTACGTGCAACACCACTTCCTTCACCTGGTTCATCTTTAAATGTCACTTTAACTCTATTAACTGCTAAAGGTGGAACTGATGAGCCACGTCTGTGGTGATGATTTATTTGTTGGTTGAGTTCTTTAAATGCTTTCAATAATAGTTGATTTCTATCTCTTTCCATCTGAATGATTTTAAAAATAATTATTTTTAGATTATTAAAATTTTACCAGAAACTTTTGTATAAAATATTTGTATAATACATTCATAGTTTAATAAATGATTAATAATGAGAGTAATATCACATGTTCTGCGATATTTCTATTATTTGTATACGCAAAAATTATATTAGGCTTGCAACAAATAGTATATTCGGCACCAAACATTCGACGAAACCTTTGAGCGAATAGCCAAACTATTCCAATGGATTTTACCTTCAAAAACTTAATTAGACGATAAATTTGCGACAATTTCGATGAATAGTACAATATATAGTCGTGTCTAGCATGTGCAAGTGTTTGCATAATCATTAGTTTTCTTTTAAAAATCGTCCACGTTTTAGTTCACAATTCTGAATCGATTTTAAAAATGCATCAATTGTTCCAAAGGTAAGAGTTGGAAATTGCTTTTATTAGTATTTGGCAAACATTGACCGATTCTTTATGAAAAGAAAATTGGACGATTTTGATGATTTCTTTCCTGATGATAAAGATCATGGAACTAAACATACTAAAATTTTACGACCCTACGACAAGTGGCTTAATTTTAAAAACTTTTTTTCTTGTAACCGTTTTTCCGATCTTACTATCTCAAGTTATGGAATTTGTGCATTGTCCATAGAAATTATTATATAATCATAATAGAATCTTTATATCTGTGTCAAGAAACAATCAGTCTACAAAACCTGTCTAGTTGTATAGAAAATGTTATCACTAATTTCATTGATTAAATAATATGAAAGACTATGTATGTACTTGATACAGGTAACCATGCCAGTATTATCATATAGCCAAAAAATAATTTGTTAAGTTTCTTTAAAAAAAATGTTTTGGGATTTTTAATAAAATTTAACATAGTGATAAAGTTCATGTTCTCAACAGTCCAACGAAATTTGGCATAAAAGGCGCTTTTAAAGCATACAAGCACGTGTTTGTGCACTATAATTAATATATTAACAGATATTATGAATGTGTTTGAAAAATATCAATTGGAAATTGCAAAGCTTAGTTTTTAGTGAAAGCAAAAACTTCATTTTCGAAATAAACAGTTAACTAGTGGGGCGCATGGCATCGTGCCTTAAAGCAAATTTCTGGAACTTCCCGTACCAAAAAATATTATTTTTTAAAAGATTAACATTTTTGAAAAAAATTTACTCTGAAAAATTAGATTTTTGAGAAACTATAAATTTTTGACAAAAATTTAATTTTTTTTTGAAAAAAAAAAGACTTTGAAGAAAAGTGTATTTTGAAATATTTTGGAAATTCTGAACTTTTTTTCAAAGCAATCGTCCTGCTTTAACTGCAGCATAGAGACGAAATATCGGAGAACCGTAAGCGCCGCGCCGCCGTCTAACGAATAAGCATTGGTACGGAACCCATAAGAATGTAAACAAAATTTATACTTATTGTTAAAATCTCTATAAAATAACTGATAATTTGATGTGCATATATCTAATGATCATTTTTGACCGCCAGATGGCTTTTTTTTACTTTTTTTACTGAATCTCCAAAACCGCTAGACTTGCCTTCATGAAAATTTGATCAGTTCTTCATCTTGTTAATACAAGTAAAATGTTTTTTGAATTCTTCAAATCGGACGCTCCGTTCTCTTAAAAACTGAGTTACCGTTTTTGACACTTTTTGCTCCATATCTTCGGAACGGCTAGACTTGCCTTCGCTAAAAACTAATCAGCCGTCTCTTTATCAATACGAATTGAATGTTTTTTGAATTAATCAAATTGCTTCATCCGTGTTCCCGAAATCGTCGACGAAAATTTGTATCCGAACACGCACACACACACATACATCCAATTTTTCTAAGGTATGCTTCTCTTATAGAAGTTTGTTATGTATCTATGTTATGTACCATAACAATAATAAATACTTAAACAATTATAATAAAAATATAAAAATGTATACAACATAATTAACTGATTTTTTTTATCAATTATCTTCTTATAACTTAATATAATAAGTGCTTAATATTCAGCCAAATATTCATTGAACGTTATATCTTAGTTACATCATCTTAGAGAAATACAACACATGCATTAAAATAAACAATCATTACCTTCAAAAAAGTTAAATCATTTTGCTGAGCATTTCGCAACTTCTCCATATCCCTTCTGAATTTAGCTTCCTTTACTGGAAATCCACCAAGTTCAGCTACAACCGATCCAGGCTCTAAACCAACATCTTCCATAAAAACACGACCAAATAGGTCTAATGACAGACGCCAACGACCCAGTAATAGATCATGAGACACCATAGGACCAATAGATGGGTATGGTCTTGATAATAATAAAATTTATTAAAACATTGTTTATAAAATAAAATAGCAATTAAATTTTCTGAAAAAACTTACCTTGGAATTGGAGGTTTGACATTAACATTAACAGAAGGAGTTGTTTCAACAGTAACATGAGCTGAAATTTCTTGTGTTTCCATTGGATCTGGAAGTGGATTGTCTCCAGTGCCCACCTAGAAAAGAAAAATTGAATTACTACTACTTATAAAATAATTTTTCACAGTAAAAAATACTTACTGAAGGTCCAGCTCTAACAATAACACTTTTGGTTGGCGATCTACTGCAAGAGGCATTACTATCATTTGTTTGATCTGAATTTCCTGAAAAAATAAGCACATATCTATTTTTTATTATATAATTGGTGTAACTAAAACTTTATTACATTAGCAACATTGTAATTTTCTTTTTTCAAAAGTGCAGAACATAAAATTGTACCTTTAGAGCTTGGGCAACTAAGACCAAAGAAATAAATTTCTATACTAGTTTGTCATGCTTACCAAGATCAAAGACGCTAAAATTAGTGGGTAATACAGTGACATCAGGACTGTCTCCTGTGAGTTCTGAAAGACTCTTCTTGTTAGCATCGGCAAGAACCTTAGCAGTTGCCGCTTGCAAAGCAGCTGCTACTTTCCGCGGTGTTACAATAATTTGAGGACGCACTGTTTTAACATTTCCTGTAAATAAATATGAATTGCTATTCCAAATATTAAAGATAAGATGCAAAAACTTACTTGAAGTAGGAGATTGTCCGCTTGGGCCAGCAACATCAGAAGAGTTTGAATCTTGCAGATCTGAGTCAAAGAATATCAAAATTGAATTCAATGGTAAGCATTATTTATTTTACTAGGTGTAATACTATATTACTTAGCAATAAATTTATTTTAAAGTTCAAATCAAATTTGTATTTTTATAGAAGAAGACCATATTCGCAAAGTGTCATGTTTTAATGAGTCAATATAGAAATATATGACTACTCACTTGTATTGGGAACATCTTTTGAGCATGACAAATCTTGTGGTTCTTCTGAAGCTGTAAATTTGATTTATTTAGTAATGATGATTTTAGTTGATAAAAGTAATAGAAAAACTTGATTACCTTCTGATTTTTTATTTTTAGCAAATGTATCAAAATTACTGTGAGACTGAGCATCTGAATTTTCCAAATCTGGTATTGTAGCTTGGTTTGTAGAATCTATTTTCAAAAAATAGCTTTTAGTACCATATTTTTTATTACACAGTTTAGAATTGTGTTTAATAGTATTACATGACAGTTATATTTTTTAATCGTTATATACCTAATATCTACGAATAGTTTTGATTTGGAATGAACAATCATTTTGTTTTATTTGTTTATCAATGATCAAGAACAAAATAAAAATCAATTAAACTATTAATTAAATAAAGAGATATATCATAATGCACATATGACTAAATCAGCTTCAAACTAAAGCATAAATTTATCGTTTTCAGTACAGAATATTATAAAATAAAGGTATTTCTAAATTCAGAGATTAACATTAATTTGACTAAAATTTTGGGTGAAAATATAGGCTATATTCTATTAACTCATAACAAACCTACTCATAAAAATACCATATGCCTGACCTGTAGTTTCCATCTTTTCAGTGATATTCTCTTGCTTTATTGGTATCATTTCAGTATTAGTAACATCCGCCAAGTCAGGTTTAATATCTACTTCATTTTCTTCTGCATCTTCCTCATCATCTTCGTCGTCATCATCATCATCATCATCGTCGTCATCATCATCTGTGTCATCTTGATGCTTATTATTTACATTGTTTGACATTGATTGACCATGGTAAGCTGCATTATTTACTCCTACATTCATTGAAGAGTTGGAACCTCGTAATGATAAACCCAATTGAGTTGGAAGCATTTCTAATGGGTTGTAAGTGCCAGGAGGAGCAGATTCTGCAAAAAAATTTGAAGCAAGTATTTGAATATATATATATCAATGAAATTTCATATTACAAGAATTCGGCATTAGAAATTTTACACTAATAATATAGAATTTGCTAAAATTGAATTTAGTACAAAAATTTCAAGCACCTAATATATATAATAATAATAATAATAATGGGTAGTGCTGCTTACTATATAAAATTACTTTTACATAAGCTGAAAAAATATGCATTATAGCGCCATTAATGTTATACTAATTAAGTGCAAAATTGTTATGAATACCTGCTGGTGGTACAGTGATAGGCATTTTTGGTATTCCAAATAAATCATCTCTCCTAGCATTGGGCTGTAACAAATGTGGTTGATCTGCTAAAGGAAGTGCTTCTACCATAGGTATAGCAAATGGATCTGGTGGTGGACACCCCAGACACAAAGTAGATTCTGAGCGCTGGAATATAAAATTATGGTCTAGTAGAATTCAAACCAATAGTTTGCAAAATATTTCATAATTGCCAACTCATATTGCCAATATGATTCCAACATTCAATTACCCAAACAAAGAGAAACAAACTCAATATAATATTCAATAATATTTCTATGCCATTAAGATTGTGATTTGTACCTGAAAGAATGAATGTTTACGACCCTTATTCTCAGAAATGCTTGTTTTATTAGAATATGGAACACTAGTCAACGAGTCTTGATCATCTATCGTGTCCATAGGTTCCATACCCGGTCCGGCCTCATCTTCAGTCTCATCATTTTCATTTTCATCCTAGAGTACCAATCAAGTTAAAATAAAAAACAAGCTGTTTTATAAATTTTTTTGGTTTAGCTACATACAGCATCAGAAATTTGCCAGAAATACGGTTCCCTATCTCCCCTTTCTCCTACTAGACTAGCAGCTGATGTTTGCGGTTCATTTGCTGAGCTAGCGCCGCTGCCACCTCTCATCAAATAAATTAAAGCATCTAGAACGTAGGCCACATGGCGTAAGGAAGACACATCCAAAACTGGTAGTGAGTCTCGATGTTCTGCATTATGAGCACGCATCAAAGATAAGCAATAACTCAGAAACTCACGTCGAGCTGAAAATACAAGGTAAATGAAAGTATTAATTTTGGCATATATGTACATACAAGTTTGTTCACATTCATTTTCAATATAAAAATAAATGTGAACAAAATTTTCAATTTTTAAATAGAATTTGCCATTGGTGAGTAATCATTATAGAATTTTTGAATCAAAATTTATTATTATTGAATATGTACCATCTCGATCGGCCCCACGACCCCTGGATGTTTCTGTGGATGACCCAAAACCAACTAGACGAGGACCAACAGCACTTCCCGCGTTTCCTGCTTGTCCACCGCCCCCGCTACCGCCACCTCCGCCGCCACGTGACACTCTACTAGCCCCTGCTGAAGATGAGGATGGATTTCCTGATCCAATTGCATTTACCATTCCCAATGTTGCACCAGACTGAAAATTACATTTAAAAGTTGATATATATTTAAGTGATTAAGTATTAATTAAAAAAAAAAAACAAACACAGAGAATACGTTGCAAACAATAAATTTAAAACTTTCATACATTGTAAGAAATAAGTGATAATGAAAGCAGATTTGCAACAGTAGATGTTTAAAATAGTATACTATATGTTTATTATAAAAAAAAGTTGTAAACAATTTAGCATTGCAAGGTGCAACATGATGTTCACAACCACCACATTAACAATTGCATTTTTCAACATTAATAAAATGATGGGTGATAATTTTCAGTTCTTCACTATAATAAATATCATTATTATATTGGTGCAAATTTGTCATTACGTTCATAAGCAGAATCACTAGATAGTTAAAAAAAAATGGATTAAATTGAAATGATTGAATTAACCTAGGAAACCAAACTTAAAAATGTGGAATCTATTATTATTGAAATATTTTGGCTTTAAAAAATAAATTCATCAATATCTAGTATTAATACTTAACAGAATTTTCAGAGGATATTTTAATTAATTTAAGTACATGAGCCCAAATGTGCAACCATTTCCTACAGTTTTCTATAGTGATAAATTGTATCTTTTGATAAACCATTTACTATTCAATCAGGTTTTAGCAATTTCCGTGATTTGGATTTAGATCTTTTGGATTCAAATCAGAATTGGGAATTGGGAACTCAAGATTCAGATGACATTTGTTAAAATCACAAATGGTAAATACATATGATTCAAATCAGAATCAAATGATGCATGAAACAGAGTATTTGATCTAAATTTGAATTGAAAATTATTGGATAAAATTTGAATTGAAAATTATTTAATAAAATTAAATGAGAACTTATTCAAGTTAAAATATTTTATAGTATGTTTGATATTTGTAACATGTGAGACAATATCAGGGCAATACATCAATGGAAAATGCAAATAATTTTCACAATAAAATCTTTGTTGAATTGAACCTGTGATCCTGCTGTTCCTGGAACCGCTCCTCCAACTGAGGGGGCATGCAATGGATGACCAGGGTGGGCAGGATCAGCTGCATGAGTTAAAGAGGCTCCGAACCTCAATTGAGCTTCAGTAGCATCCATTACAGTCAAAAGCCATTCCCATGTCCCCCGTAAACGATATTCCAAGTACATCTGCCAAAATTTCATTTAAAAAAATATAATTTCATTGTTAGTTAAATTAATATCCTGTTATTTGATATATTTACCTGTAGTTTCATAATTTCATCAAATGAAACTTCAAGAGATTTATGAAGTAAGCCTACATGTGAATAATCATGCAATGCAGCTAAAAGTTCGGCTATTTGGCGGATAACAATACCTAAAAAAATTAACTTGTTGAAGGTTATTTTAAAATATTACTTTATATACTATGTTACTAATATACTAATAAAAGTTCAACAACAATACCGAATCCTCTAGCCAAACAACTGGCAGTTGTGGCCATTGTATGCGGTTCTTGATGATTAGCGGCAGCAACAGCTGCAGTAGCTGCAGCAGTTCTACGCAACGAACTTGAATCAATAAACACAAGATTTGAACCAGTAGATAAACGTACTCCACCTGATGCCCTATTAAAATGAAAAAAAAAAGTAATATATACTCTGCTATATACATAAAAATTTAATTTTTTTACATTTCACAAAGAGAAGATGATTACATTAGGCTGCTGGTAACATATAACAGCAGTGTTTGTAAGAGTAAAATGAAATTTATATCTGAATAGAATAATTCTCTGTGTATATACCTGTTGTTTTCGCGACTCCTTATAGCCCATTGCATACTCTGAGGAGCTAAGTTGTTACGATGTAAATGCCCAGTTCCGGTACTGCAAGTTTATGTTATTGTATCAAAAATATCTAAAATAATTTGATATATCAAAAATTATCATACTGACATTCTACGCTCCAACAATTCATCATTGGCTATTGTCTCAGCTGTGCTCAATTCGTCTGTATCACCATTTTCACTTCCTTCTTCTTCTGGTTGTGAAGATTCACCTGATTCATCTATTACAAATGAAAAGTAAAAATCATAATCTCTATAGTATATATAGTTATTATAGCATATTATATATAATCACAAATAACCTGTATCGGATCCTGCAGTAGCACCAGTTTGAACACTGCGTTGTGCAGATTGTGCATCCTGATTACTATGATTATCATCACTTTCAGACTCAGTGTCAGCTTCGACCAATAAATCTAATTCAACATCACTTTCCTCCTATACAAATTGGAAGTTTACTCAATATAACATATAAATTATATTTAAAATAATAAAATATGTTATTATATATTTACCAAAGTAACATCAGCATTTGCCTGTCCGCTCAAAGGATCAGGCTGTTCAGATTCCATTTGCTCACCACCAGATACAGCCAGAGCACCACTTCTATCCAAATCATCTTGTTCTGAAGTTTCCCCTTCCTGATCATCTACTGCCATACCTGAAATAGATATATAATAATAGAAACAATAACCAAGCCATCGAAGCATTAATTTTACCTTCATTATCTATTGTATCATCCAAATTAAGAGTTGATGTATGTATTCTTTGGCCAATGCCACGATTTCTACTGGCACCATTATTTGTCATATCTGCAGATAATACATTTGAATTTGTCGAAATGTTAGCCCTTGTATTTAAAGGCGTCAAAGGCTCAACAGAAAATAAATCCTCGGAACTCTATAATAAATACTTCAGTTAATTTATATATAAATTATAAATATGTTTAATAATTAAATATATTTTATACAAACGTTAACAATTTCAACTGGAGAATTAGGCAAAGAAAATGGCGCTGTTGGTCGAACAACACCTAATCTGACTGGTGAAATTAATGAATCTGCAGTCTCACATAATTCTTCAATAGATAATTTGATAAGAGACTGGAAAACTTTTCGACATTTTAATATTGGATGCACACTGCCACCAACTCTATAAAAGCAGAAGTCTATTAGCACTGTACTAAATTTAGAATTGGAATCTTCTAAAAAGAAAAAGCAAATCCAGATTCTGTCAATAAAAGCTATTCATCCTTACCCTCTTCTCTTGTCTGCCGATGGCGTACTTTCAACACTGAATATCACAAAAACTCTCGCAACTGATCTTACAAAACGCCTTGCAACCTACAAAAAAAATAGTTATAAAAATAAAACTTCCAATACGAATGTAGTTAACTTTTCCTACCAGAGTAGCTTCTTCACAGCGCCCAGGAACAGATGTGTTATTAATTTCTCGTACTAAGGTTTCTAGTAAAGCATCTAGCAACTAAAATGTAAGAATTTAACAGAATTAATATAACTAGGTTTCTTTTATTAACATACAGTTATTGCGCTTATGCAATCTTCACAGAATATAGTGACAGTTATCAAAATAAACACATTATGGATGGACTTGGAATATACAATTTTTTATAACTATTATTGAAGCAAATCTTTTAAATTCTAATTTCATAAAATATTTCTAAACAAACCTCGAACTAATAACATAATATTGATATAATATAATATATAGTAATATTATGAATAAAAGTTAATGTTAAAACTTACATCACAATTACATCGTACAAAAAGATTGTGAGTAAATCTATCCAATAATGTAGTTCCACTTTGACCATTTATGTATGCAGTATCATCTTCTTTCTGAAGATTGCTGCATACAGAATTGTCCACAACACCTGATAATATCATAGCTCGCAAACCTGGCCAATCTCTTAAAATAAATTCCAGAGCACGCTTAGCAAATCGCGGGGGCTCTAAATCATGATCAGGCATATCTCCTTCAGCTAATATAATATTAAAATTTAAATCACATATATATGCTGTGTAACATTATTAAATAATATGAATTATAGCCTTTCCCTTACCTGAGGTGCTTCTGGGCCTTGCAGTTCTATACTGTCTTTGTTCGATTGACTGTCTGCCCACTGTTTGGACTAAGAACAACAGAATACTCTCACCTCTGCAAATATTGTAATAGTATTTTAGTATCATAAATTTCTACCAATTTTTTCTATTTAACTAACCGGCTATTAAATGTTGTAACCAAGTCTGTTCCTGCAACCAATCGACACATCAGAGTAAATCTTGCAGTTTGACTTCCTTGTATCAATGCCTTGCATTTACATTTCTCCCAACAATCACAATATGCTGTTGGAGAAGTTCTCTTCAGTTTGCAATCATGTCCTTTATGGCAAACCTAAAATATTCATATTTTAATGATATTAATTTTTAAATCTTTTACGGTTAGCGTAAAAGTTTAATAACTTACTTTTGCGCATTCAGTGCAGCAGCAAAGAGAACCTGTCAGACCACAAGTTCGGCATTCAAATATATCCTATAACAAAATTCAATTGTATTTAGCATAAAGATATATAATGACTATTTTTACACATGTTTCAGCTTATAATGTATTATAGTTACTAACATATTCATGAGTTTATTATGTACATACTTAATAAATGTTTGTTCCGTATCTGTCTTTCACATTAAACTATATTAGTGACAGTCATCGAAGAACATTTGATTTTGGGCACTTTATGAGTAAATTATAATCTTCTATAGTTCACTGTATCTAGTGCCCACATAAATATTAAATATAAACATATAAAAAAAGCAATAATCTAAATTCAAGATATTTAAGTAAATAAGTATATAGATATATTTACCTGATTAATATGCTCTGCGCCAGTCCAAGTAAAGCTGCATGTGTCATTACAACACAAAACATGCAATGGTGAATGATCTGGTGCACTACCAGGAGGGAATAGCATACTGTCTCTAATAGATGCATTTCCACCACTTACTTGGCTGATAGTGGTCAACAAAGTAAGACCAGCACGATAGGCACGAACTGCCACTGAAAGCATGAACGGAGTTTGCCCTTGTGCATCCCTGAATGAATAAAAATGAAGAATTATCGAATGCAAAGTAAATTAAATACAAAATAATTGATAATAAAATGTGTGTAGCTTCTCGAAATTGAAATTGAGTATGTTGAATGAATCTTCATATACCATAATTGACTTTGAATATTAGTGTGAGTGTATGGAAAGTATGGTAAATCATAACATAAAACTTAAAAGAAAAAATAATTCATCTGTTTGTTTATGTTATTTACATTTTAGTTCTTTTTGGCATTAATAATAGAAAGTAAAACATACTTGGCACTTAGCAATTCTTTGAGATGTGGTTGTAATGCTGGACTATCACATAACAGTTGGACAGCTGCAATGGCATTATTGCGTCTTTCATTCTCATCAATTATGAATATGGGGGCTACATTGGCATTACCTTTCTGGGTACTTGCAACTGATGCAGCAGAATTTTTGCACCTTAAATTAATTAAAATATTTAATAAACTGGATTATTGATTTTTTTTTTAAGTAATTTTTTTTGTAAAGCGAATACAATGATACAATACTTTGATCTAGATGATTTATGTATAAGCACCTTATTCCTTCATATAAAATCAATTTTAATTAAAAATACTAAAAATAAAATACATATTTCTAAAATATACTAATTGCATTTTATATTGTGTGCATCATGTAAATTTTATAAAACATTGAAAAATATTGAGATAGAAAATCATAGAAATACCAATATTTTTTTAAAGGCATTCAATTTGAAAGATTTCAATTCAATTATATAATAGCAATAAGTATATTGAAAGTAAATACCCATTTTCAACTTCACTAGGTGGAGGCTGTGGTTCAAAATTTTCTGACCAATATACTATAGGCATTGAAGGTTCCTCTGTAGCAGGAGGAGGAGCTACAGGAATTGAAGTCACATTGGGACCCGATTCTGGAATAGATAATCCCTGTTCCGTTTGACCTAGATTAAGAAAAAATGAGCATTGAAAATTTGTCTGAGATCTGAGTAACATGTTGTAAAATACTTACCAGTTATGTCAAAAATTTTGTTTGAAACAGGTGCGCACATACTAACGCAAGCATGTAGAATATTCCTATTACCATCACAACGTTCATTTAGTACCAAAGGTAATTGTGATTCTGTGAAATTATAATTGTATAAGCAATTTAAAATTAACTAATCGACATAATTTTTTATTTTAATTAGTTATACTAACTCAAGTCACCTTCCAGTTGGGCTAAAATTATTTTAATTCCTTCAATATCACATCTTAAAATTCTGGGCATCAAAAGTTGCACTTCTGTTGCCATTGCTATAAGAGCCACCTAAAATTAAATTTTGGCATTTGAAGTATAAGCAATAATTCTGTTATAACTATTTAATTTACTTGGGTTTTAAGATTATTTGAAATCGATGATGAAGGCAATGCTATTACAGATGCTCCTAAACTTCTTATAGGGGGCAAGTCTAGTGTATTGGGATCTCGAATACATTCCATACAATCTTTGGCCAATGGATATAAAGTGCGATTCCCATCCCTCAGTAGTAGCACACTATCATTTCCCTGTTAAATTTAAATTAAATATAAAACTTCTGCTAATTATTTAATTTCCAATATAGTTCTATTACAAAAACATAAATGCTGAATAGTTCATAAATAATACAAAAGAGTAGTCAAAAAAAAAAGTAACTGCAAAAAAAGAGCAATAATTTACCTCACCAATGCATGTCAAACTGATATCACTTATATTCAAACCAAGAAATGCAGTAGGGTCACTAGGAAAAGGTGCTTCAGTTTCTTGTCGCCCAGTGTTCAATGAAAATACTGAGTAGCATAACCTAGATCCTATATTTCCACCTCTTACAATAGCATGAACACCTCTGGTATCCACAGCTAGTGACAATACATGCGGAGCTAAACCTTCTGGTAATGATATGCGTCGTGGCGATCTTTGGAAACAGTCAGGAGCACGTGATGTTGTCATTGATTTTATCACCTACATAAAATATTTTAGTTAGAAGAATGCAACATGTAAACTAAAATTTTGGACAACTTCCAGTTGATAAATTGGAAAATCCAAATTCACTTTTGATAAATATGAATTATATAATACTTGATAAATATGAATTATATAATAATATAATATTTTGTTTTTGCCGTCTCATAGTTATTACAGTATCTAACTTTTTGATAATAATTAGTTCGGATCACAACTCAGTTATTAGATACGATACATATTAGTTTAGATATATAGTCTAAAAATTAAACACTATTCTTATATATTAGATTCATCATGAAGTAAATTGTTTTACATACATATATTTTGATGGTGGCCTTAAATAAAAATTAAATAATAATTACAGACATTAAGTACTGTAGCATATTTGCCTATATTGAAATTGACAATACCTGTAATTCATCTTTTCTCATCAATCTACAATCTTGCAATAAATTACAAGTTTCTTCTTCTTTCTCATTTTTTCCTATGCTTGCTGAAGGAAATTTTACTGCTGCATATGCTCCATCAACTTTCAATACTTTACCTATTTTCAAAACAATAAAAATTTTGTTAATTTATTTACAAGTACAATTGTAATAAAGTAATGCATATACCAATGGGTATGCTGCGAACATCTTCAATAAAAACAACATCCTTCAGTAACCACAATTCTTCATCATCTTTCTTAGGTTCAATATTTGAGTCATCTTTTACAGTCACTCTTCTTTGTCTTTCTGTAATTGTAATGTAATATGATAAATAGTTTTTCAGATTGTGCATCTAGTTGAGATTAATAAAATGAAAATTAAATTATCTTGTAAAAAGGTTTTTTTTCGTAATTAATTGAGTCTTTTAAATAGCAATAGACTGAAATATTAAATTAGAAAAAAACGTATTACACAATTTAGATACACATATCTAAATACTATACTAATGTTTCACGGATTGAATATTGTTGTAATATTGAAAACCTAAAACAATATTATTATCTTATATCCTAAATCATTCTCAGTTAGCTTATATACAATTTGAATAAGGCATATATATACATGTGTGTGTGTTAATAATATTTATATAAAATTTAACATACTGTGACTATTAGTAATACTGCCAGTATCACTACAAGTACTAGAAGCTGGTGATGGTGGAGGTGGCATATCCATACGATCGGCTGTTTCCTTTTGAACACAAGTTCCTTTTGAATTACCAGGCCCTGAAGTTGTTGCTCCTATTGAAGCTGAAGTTCAAAGCTTTGTTAGGAAAATATTTGAAACAAAATAATCATGGTTTATTAAAATAATAAATAACTACGGAATTGTTCAGCTGTATTTCCAGATGATTAAATTAGTGTTTATAAAAATATTATAAAAATGTATATCAAAAACAGATACCAACAATATATATATATATATATATATATATATACACATACTTAAATACAAACAATTTACCTGTGGTTATGTTACTTGTGTGAGAATTCTCAGAAACTGGTGCAGGCAAAACCTTAAATTGGCATAAATCTGTTAAACTCAAGCAGAATTTTGAAGTTGCCCAACTTTTGGAACACCATTTGAAATTGTGAAACCTGTACACAGCAAAAAAATTCAACTACTGCAGCATACTCCCTACTTATATATATATGTTATAAAATTACCGATAGCTCCTGGCTGATACATAGGACTATTTTTCATACAAACTTGTGCACCGCAAGTAACTTCAATACTAGATGGTCTAGAAGGTTTGCGTGTTTTAGCTTTATGGCGATCCCATAATCGCTTACGTTGGGCAAATGGTAAAATTCCCCTATTAAAAAAATATTTGTAAATGATTATAAGCAAAAAATAGATAGATGAATGAATGAATAAATTATATATATATATATATATAATATAATATATATATAAATCCACATGTAAACTTTATTTACCACCAATATAGTGCACCACTTTCTAAACGCACTACAG